ATTATAATATTGAACATTCTATGTTTATATCAGTTTATATTATATTCAATATTTTTTTTTGGATCAGGCTATAAAGAATTAAAATCAGTGTCTGAGAGGGACAAAAGTGGAGTTCACTGATCAGATTTATCATTTGGAGCATTTGCAGCTGTAACTGGCCCAACCTGAACATCAATAATGAGGCTTCATGTAAATTCCGACCAACAATTTTTCACTAAATAGACTTAACATGACTGTGTCTCAGCACTACATTTATTATTGGAAATAAAAAAGAGAAAAGGTGACATATGATTAATGAGGTTTTTGGACAAATAATGACCAAGTCTTTAAACATGCTCACTGTTTATGATTACGCCTGCTATGTCAGATAAAAGAGTCTCAGTAAAAAATTTTAGGTTTATTTGAACCTTCACCCTTCAGAAATTGGTGAACAAATTTGAAGTACATTTCAATTTCTATCTACAGTATGTTTGTCTGACGGGAGCCAGGCTTCAATATCTGAAGACTTAATGTTAATTTAACTGCTTTTCTGAACCAGGGATAAAACAGTGTATAAATCAATGGGTTCAGACAGGAGTTCAAATAGAACAGATAAATCACAAATGACACAAAATAGTCATTGAAGACATCAGAACCCACAAGAGAAGCACCGTAATATGGGCAGAAACATATCAGAAAGACAATTATTAAAACACCAAGAGTCCTGGCTGCTTTCAATTCAGATTTTCTTGATTGTATAGTGACTGAAAGCTGGACTTTGGCAGCTCTAACATGAGAGCGCATGGCACGAGCCTGAGAAACAGCCACCACAAACACTTTCAGATACAAAACTGTGATGACTGTGACTGGAAGTATGAATGTTAAGACAATATCTATGGTTCCTGTAATGTAATCTATATAAAATATGCATTCTCCATAACAGGAATTGTGTATGCCTAACTGAGTCAGGTCATCTTTTATGACTAAAATGTTGTAGAGGACAGAGCAGAGCCAACACAGACACACACACACTTTAACTCTTTTCTCTGTCACTCTGGTCTGGTAATGCAGAGGCTGACAAATGGCCACATAGCGGTCAATGGAAATCAGCACCATGTCTCCAACAGAGGCAGAGGTGACGATGAAGGATGTGTATGTCAAAATACAACAAGCAAGATCACCAATAAACCAGCAGGCAGTGTTTCTGAGGATTTCCCCTGGTAGCAAGACGAGTCCAACAAGACAATCTGAGACAGCCAGAGAGAGGAGGAGGATGTTAGTGGGCGTGTGGAGCTGCCTGGAAGGAGACAGAGAAGAACATTTAAAAACAAACCTGTGCATCTTAATGACAAAATGTCAAATCATCATTAACAAGAAATAAACTTTTTTTTTTTTTTAAATATACAGTACTGAAATTTTAACAATTGATTATTTCCTGAGATCAAGGATGCATCATGACTCTTAACAAGCTCAGCTAATTTCTCTAAATT